GTGGACTGACGGGGACAGGCGCAGAGGAGGGGACGCTGCTAAGGGGGCTGTGACCAAGGTCTGAGTGAAGGAGATGCAGCCTGAATAGGTGCGAGCTGTAGAAGACAATATAGGTTCCCAATGTGATCGGTCTCATCTAGCAACAGGGAGCTCATTATTCTTGGGCAGCAGTCCTCCCCTAGGAGAAAGTTCTTCCCTAGGCCCAGGCTCAAGTTTGTCTTCCTGGGGTGATGGGTGGGTGCAAGGATCAGGAAGGAGATGTCGTTCATTGTGCTGGGGGTCCCAGGAAGATGGAAGCTTGGGAAAAAGTATGGGACCACTGAGTTCAAGTTGAGATGCAGAGGCTCTGTGACCTGTCTGTGTGACTGCCCCCTGTCCCCCAGGGTACCCTGGCCAGGTTAAATACCCAGGTGGGCACCCTGGGTATTTGTAGCCAGACGCACTGAAGCTCCTTAACTGGCTTCAGAAAAACAGTAGAGTAAGCAGAAAAATACGTACATAACTGGCAGTTTTAGGCATACATTTTATTGTGTTTTTTTTTTTTATATATATATAAAAAGCAAAAGAGTACACGTGTGGAGTGGAGGATTAAAGAAATGAAGACTGTAGTTAGAGTAGGGACTCCAATCCCCACTCCTAAAACTATAACGTCCGCTATTATTTTTAAAAAACAAAAACAAAAAAAACAACAAAAAAAGAGCAAACATGAAACTTATGACCTGGACTTCGCCCTATCCCCTCATGCCTATATTATGACAGAAACATATTTGGCTGTTACTTATATACAGCCAGAGGTCTACATTTAGGCTGTGGCCCCCTCCTCCAAGCCCCACCCATATCCCACCCTACCTCCCCCAAAGCCTCCCCTAAGCCCCTGCTTGGAAAACAGGGCAGACACACACATATATCTGGACCCTCCTCCATATATCTGGCTCCATATGGAGCCCCCGAAACCAGCAGACCCCAGGCACTTTCCTCATTCATAGGTAAACACATCACAGCTCCCCCCATGGCTAGAATCCTTTCCACTTGGTCCTTTGCCCTGAATATCTGGGATAACACGCATACACACATTCACACACACTCACACATTCACTGTCCATTCCTTCCCTTTGAGAGACAAAGTATTATGTTGGCCCTACTCCCTGACCCACCACAGTTTAAGGGCAGTGGTCTAAAGTCCTATTTTGTTGGGATCTGGTGGAAAATCCTGGAGGGGGCTGTCCCGCAGGGTGGGGGCAAACAAGGAGTTTCTTAGCCTGGGAGGGGGATCCTGAAGGGGGCTTCTAGGGAGCAGCCCTTGCACAGTCAGTGGATACTCCAGGAAGAAGGGCAAGGGGGATGGCCCCCGTCCACTCAGACTTGCTCCTTGTGCTTCACGTGAGCCAGCTTCACATTCTCTTGCTCAGTGGAGGGTGGAGGCTGCTCCAGGTGGCAGCCAATCATGACCTGGTACACAAAGACTCCCGCGATGGAGCCCAGGAGTGGGGAGATGATCGGCACCCACCACCAGTGGCGGCCCGTCCTGAGGGACAAAATAGGTAGTTAGGGGAGGGTGGGACAAGCAGAGAGGAGGCAAGCCAGCGCAGGCTGGGTTGGGGCAGCACTCACGTGAAGACTTCCGAGCCCCAGCCTGCAATGGCGGTGAAGAGACGGGGGCCGAAGTCTCGGGCAGGGTTGACGGCATAGCCGGAGTTGAAGCCCATGGAAGTGCCAATGACCAAGACCACCAGGCCCACGGTGAAGGCCTCCAGGCCTCGGGGGACAGGGTTGTTGTAGGGGTCCACAATGGCCAGCACACACACAATGAGAGAAGCCGTGCCGATGAACTAACAAGTAGGGAGAACAGAGTGAAGAGTAGCCCCCACCCTACCTTCTGGTCCCTCCTTCTGGCCTCTGGCTTCCCTCAAGCTCTTAGAGTCTTGTCACCTCCTGCATTCTGCTTTCTAGGGCAGTGGTGCCAGAATTTCTGTGGGTACAAGTATCCCCCAGGGTACTGGTTAAATATAAGTACCTGCTACCCTAATTCCGAGGTAGGTAGCCCAACATATTGAGAAACCCTGCTCTAGATAAGGAGTCCTGACCCCCCGCCAGCCCATCAGCAACCCAGGGCAATCTGGTCCCCCTCCCTGTGTTCCCCTCACAGTCCCCAACCCATACCTGGTCGAAGAAGCCATTGACCATGTCCAAGTGTCCAGAGGGATAGGTGGCAAAGATGCCAGCTGTGCCATTGGGACCCGAGACTACAAACTCGTTGTTGGCGAAGGCCAAGATTGCATCTGGTGACAGATTAGACCCCAGGTGAGTGAGGGCAGAGGCCTGAGTCCAGTTGCCCAACTCAGGTTGGGCCCACCCTCCCAGGGGTCATAGGTGAGTTGAATCACTGCTATATTATGCTGGAGATGAAGGCAGTGGGGTGGGTGGGGTGAGGGCCTGAGATGCTATTGTTGCCCAACTTGTTTCTTTCCCCTCGTGCCCCCCACCTTAAGTCTGTGCGTGAATGAGTGAGTCATGAGCCTGGGGCCTGGGCAGGTCTCAGATGTCTGTCATCAGAAGACCTGGTGCCAGCAGGTCCCAAGTAGAGGGAAAGGGAGTGGAGGAGGGTAATGCTTACCATAATACAGCCCGAAAACGATCCCAGCACCCAGGAAGGCTCCCAGCGTCTGGGCCAAAGTGTAGATGGGCAGCTTGATCCATGGCTCACGTGCCAGGAAGCACATGGCAAAGGTCACAGCAGGGTTCAGGTGAGCCCCTGGGCAGAGAGGAGATGGGACCTATTAGCCATAGCCTGCCACAGTGGGGAGGCCAGGATTCCACACCACTTTCATATTCCCCATCTCTGGCCTAGGGAAGCAGAGGTGCAGAAAAGGGTTTCTTGTACCGGATAGGGGGTTGGACTGTGTTACTGACAGCGGTCCCCAAGCTTTTTGGCACCAGAGACGGGTGCTCCTGTAAGAATCTAATGACTGATGATCTGAGGTGGAGCTGAGGCGGTGATGCTAGTGCTGGGGAGTGGCTACAAATACAGATGAATCTTTACTCACTTGCCTACTATGTAGCCTAACAGGCCGTGGACCAGACCAGTAGTGGTCTGCGGCCCAGGGATTGGGGACCCGTGATGTAACAGACCAACTCTGCTAACCTCTGATTCCAAGGTGAGAGTCAAAAGTTCTATCAAGTTCCTTCTCCATTCTCCTCTTCCAAAGGCTCAGAACTCAGGCCGCAGCTATGCACTGCCCTTGGGAATACCCTGCCACCCCATTCCCCAGTGGGACCCTTTGTGGGAATGCTGTTCAGGGTAAATGAATGAGGGTGGGTAAGGTCTTACCGGAGACCTGGCCAGCAATGAGGATGCCCAGGGTGACAGCAAAGCCAAAGGCCAGGTTAATGGTAAGGAAACCACCATGGGTGCCCCGGCTGAGCACGACCTGGGCCACAGAGCCACAGCCAAACATCTGTGTCAGGAAACAAAACAAGGCAAGGAGGGTGAGGCCCAGCTGAGGCCCAGCAACTCTCACTCCAGAGGAAAAGATGAAGCCGACAACCTCTGCCTGTCCCCATTAGGAGCACAGAAGGCCCGTCCTGGAATTCAACCAAAATCCCTCCTGCTGCAACTGCACCCTGGGAAGAAGCAGATATGCCCTCCCACCCCCAATGTCCCAACTCTAACATAACAGGGCCTTATGGAAGGAGCAGGAAGCCGAGTCTGCAACTGGGAGCCCAGAAGATGGCTGAACCATCTTCACTAATTTTTGTCGAATCTCAACAGGAGTGGGGTTGAGGGGAACAGCTTTCACCTCAGCAGTTTTGCCCCCAACCCTTCAGGACTGGCCCACAGAGGTAGGAAGGTTCTCACTCATCCCCCACCTGCAGTTGCATTCCTCTTTGCCCCAAAGTCAAGCTCAGGTGGTGGTGGCGGTGATATGGGAGAGTGGACAAAGAAATAGGGAAGAGGCCAGAAGTTAGGTTGAATCCACTTCTGAATCTGGGGTGTTAGAGCCCCTGGCTCTCCCCAGAGCCTTTTGTAGTACCCTCACCATCCTTGACCTGTCCCTGTCCCAGAGCCTCCTCTTTCCATCCAGCCTGACCTCTCTGCCCTCAGGGGTCCAGGTTTCCCACTCAGATTTGGCGGTCCTGAAGACAATGATCTGAGTGGCTCTTCTCAATCCAGGCCCCAGAGCAGAGGAAATGGGGAGATTGGTTTTAAGCTTTCTGCCAGGGATCGGGAGATTCAAAAGAACTAAGGTCTCTGATATCCTACAAGGATAGAATGTGCTGTATGTCTATTGCCCTCATTCAAATATAAAAATGCTCCTGTACCAGTTGTAAAGAGTTGTTGCTCTGAGCCCCGGGAGTAATCCCCAAAGCTGTTCCAGCCCCTGCCCAGGTCTCCTCTTCCACCTTCCCCTAGCGAAAGGTTTTATTGCCTCCCCTTAGCTAAAATTTCTTCACAGATGCTGACCCAGCAGGCAGTCTCCAAGACCCCATGCTAAGGGCTCTTGTCCATTCTGATGGGTTAGTGTCCTATTGTACTGGGTTGATAGGCATTTTAATTATCCTTCAGAAAGACCAAGAGATAGTGGGGAAACCAGCTGCAATGATTCAGGGCAAAAGTGTACAGGAGGTGAGAGCAAAGATCAGAGATCATGGGAGGGATCATCATCCGGGGAGGGGATGTCGGGGATGAAGGGGCACGTGTGGGTCTGGAGCATCCTGCTGGGCTTGGCAAGCCCTGGGCTCACTTCCTTCCCTGCCTGAGGCCCAAACCTGGCTCCATCCCAGGAAGCCTTGGAGGGAGAAGTTGTCAGAGCCAGTCCTTGGGGCTAATCTTCTTCTTCCCCTTCCTTCTCTCCTGTGCCCTCCTCTTACGAGATACCTCAGAGAAAGGGGCTTCCCTCACCCCAAAGCCAGCCCTGATTCTGCCACTACAGGCTCTAAGTCCCCAACCCACAGAGGTATGCAGGCAAGCCCTCACCCACCACTCAGGGGACTCCCAGGCTTGGCCCTTCCTCTTCAGGTTGCCCTTGAGATTCTGCTTTTCAGTGACACCTGATGCCTCACACCCACCTGAGCTTGAAACTCTCCTTCCTGGGCTCAGTGCTAGGTCTGATTGCTCTTTTGTTGGGGAGGCAAATTGAGACTTGGGAGGGGACAGGGAAGCCACTCTGTGAATGTGGAAAACAGCTTTCCCTGTACTGCCTGCTCTCAAATAGAGGGCTGGACCCATAAATCAGGCGTTGGGGACACAAGACTCTGGGACAGGAGGATAATAAGCATTTGCCATACTCCCTTCTTCCCTTCTTGAAACAGGGGAGAAAAGGGATGGAGATGACTGGTAGGGCTATTAGTCTTGTGAGGGGCTGTGGATAAAGTGCCCCACCAGCTTCTCCCTTCCATTTCTGGAAGCCGGAGGTGAGTCTCAGCCCTCCTCTCCCCACGGAGACTTCTCCACCACCACAAACCATTTGGGGTGGGCCACCCAGCCCTACTTGCCTCTAGTTAGGTTTCCAAATGCACAGCTGGCTGTTGCGTCTGTATTACCTAGGTTGGGGCTGGGTCAGGAAAGGAGTAACCCACCCACTGCAAAGGAGCAACTGAACCCAGAAGTAACCCAGGAAGAAAACAGGTGTAACCACATGAGAGGCTAAAAAATCAGAGTAACTGAGACAGGAAATAGAGACTATAAGTGGTGTGACTGCCAGAACCAAGAAGTGCAAACAGAGTCACCTAGGAACAACCCAGGGACGAAACTAGAGTAACCAGAGAGTAACTGAGACTGGGAAGTAACCCCAACAGGAGAAGTCTCCCACTCAGAGAACCCATAGAGTAACTCAGAATGCTTCTGCACAGAAGCTGACAACATCTGCCTGGGTAACTGACAAGGTCTGGGCATCGCTCAGCAGGAGGGGAGCGACTTTAGTGACACCACTTCCTCTGTGCCTAGGGCCCAGCAGCCTTGGCAGCCTTCCACAGCCTCCTATCTTCAGGATCCTCCTTTCTTCTCACTCAGCTATTTGCACCCTGTTCAGCCTCTGCCCTCTGCCCCCACCTGCAGCAAACTGTCCTCATGTCACAGGAACTTTTGGACTTTCTGAGGCTTAATTATTTATTAGGGATCAGACATAAGGCGCCAAATAACCTAATGAGAAGCCCATTTGCCTCTGCCTCCCTGGAGGACTCTCAGAAAATGGGGATCTGTGGGAGCCTTGAGAAGGGGCTTAAGGTCTCAGACTGCAGTGGTGACCACTGCCCTCAGCCTGTGGGCTGGGTTACTGGCAGGAGGTTAAAAAGGATCAGAGCTGTCGCTGGGGAGTGATAGCTGTCATAGATGGGGTAAAAGCTATGGGGGAAGAGCATTTTGAAAAGGGTCGAAGATGAGGGGAGGTCAGAGCTAGGAGAGGGGTCAGGGCTGTCTTGAAAAGCACAGCCCTCCGCTGAACAGAGGGATTAGGGAATGTAGGGGCTGGAGACAGAAGGGCTTCTCTGGGTCCCTCCACTCACCACGAGGATGAGGGTTCCCAGGCACTCAGCCAGCGCCTGGCGAAGCAGCCGGTAGCGGATGTGGAGCATCTCCCCGCAGCGGGACACAAGCTCCTTCTGTCGACCCATGGCGGGGCAGGCGGCGGCGCTGTCGGGCGGGAGGGACGGCGAGCACGGCGGGAGGGCGGCGGACAAAGCTGCAGTGGCGGTGAGCACCGGGAGGCGCCCTTTATAGGAGCGCGGGAGGCAAGGGCCCCACCCGCTCCGCTGCCCCACCCGCTCCGCTGCCCCGCCCGCTCGGCCCCGCTTAGAGCCCGCTTAGCCCTTGGCCGGCCGCTGGAGTGGGCGGCCACCGCTACACCTTGCCTGGGGAGGCTGGGGGGACGCTGGGTTAGGGGAGCTAATGAGGAAGGTGGAGGAGCATGAGGTGTGAAGTGCCTTAGGGGTGGGTTTGGCCCAGGAGGGCACTTAGGGGAGGAGGTATCTTGGTGGCTGAGAGGGGATTGAGGGGGCTGAGAACCAGTAGCGGGGTATGGGCATGTGGAGGAGCGTGGCCGGGGAGAATGAGCGGCCACAGAGACCTCTTTGGCCCATGACAGTGAGACTTGCAGGCATCCTTACCACGGTGGGGGTGAGAGGAGGTGGAGGAAAATAAAGGACCTGGTCCCAGATCTACAGGATGGTTGGACCCAGCCTGTCCTTAGTCAGGGGGCTGGAGGGTGGAGGCTGTGGGCCCCAAGGGAGAAGAGACCCTCTAGTAGACCAGACCCAGGTGGACACACAGAACACATGTGTTGAGTTCCAGCCAGAATTCATGGGCCCTTGCTCCTTGTGCTGTGAGTACATGTCACATATTGCATTTCCTGACCAGCTCTGTCCACAGTCATGTCCATACATGACATCTGTCCCATGTGCCTGATCATACTTGCTGAGCATTTCTCATGGCTGGGCACGAGATTGTCAAACATAGCTGGGTTAACTGAGATTGTCACACGTGTAGCTGCATGAGTTTTGCACATGGCTCCAGAGACTAAGCTGCAGTTGTCCTAACATGCCACATGCCACATGCTTGCCAGCAGGGTGAGTCCCAGTTGTTTTTAACCCTCTCCTCTCCCACTCTGGCTGATCCCCTGCCAGGGGAGAATCTGTTTCCTTCAGACATTAAGCTGGCTAAACTATGGGAATGTCAGCTCTATCCAAGGGGGCTTTTGGGGCCACCTTGCTCCCTATGCTGCATTCAGTAATTAGGAAATAGGTTTGGTGGCCTGGGCCCAACTCCCACAGGACTGGGAGCAAATATGCCCTCGCCACAGTCCCTTATGGTAGCATCGTCAGGGGAGACTGAAGAAACCACATTTTCTAGATGGACTTAATCCAGGTGGGCTAAGGGCTCTAGGGACTTGTCTCTTGAGGAATGGCTGTCAGAAATGAGGGCTCCAGAAGTGACTCATAACCGAAGAGATGGGGTTTAACAACACACATTGGGTAGATTCATACTCATGTACCCACGTGTACCCACATACATTCTAAAGACACTTATAGGCACTGAGCTTTGCTCACATGCTCATGGGGTCCCATTTACATGAGAGCCTGGCCATAGGCTCACACGCACATGCAACCCACAAACAATGTCCTTCATGGCCCTTGGTCTAGAGAGATGCACCCCACCCTCTGGGCCCTCACGGGCTGGGAGGCCCCATGGTGAATCAGGGAGCTATCACCGAGTGCCTGCCCGTAGCCCCACTGCCAGTCTGTGACTCAGGATGGAACCCTAGACTCCTGGTGCCAGAGCCCAGACTGGGAATGAGGGAACATGCTGCCCTCTCTTCTCCCTGCCCCATGGTGTGCTTATCAGCTCCTCACTGTCTCAAGGTGGTGCTGCAAAAGCAGCACAGGGTGGGAACTGGCAAGGGGCTCCTCACACCAAAAGAAAGTAGGGAACCCCAGATCACAGCACCCCATCCTCACCCTGCCCCATCCTGGGCCTGCCAGCAGTCAAGCCTGGCCTGGAACCCAGAGCAAGGGAGAAAAACAGGGACAGCTCTGCCACCAGCAGGCACACACAAGGCTCCTGTACACACACGTGTTTGCACTCAACTCACATAGGTGTTCATATGTGCTCCATTGGGAGGAACAGGTCATATGCACCATTGTGCATTTGTGTATCTTCTTCACATTAAGCGGCATTTATTAACACATGTGTACTTACATTTATTCACACATATTTGCATGCATGTATATGCCTACCTATAATCCTGGGGCTACAGCTTACCACAGAGCATCTTTTCGACTTCCTGCCAAGGCCCATAGCTTGGCAAGTGGAGCAAGAGCTGGCTCTCAATGCTCTATAGCCCCAAATCAGGGCCCAACCTTCGGGACCGTGATTCCATATACTCCCACCAAACTCATTCCTATTTATAACTAATATGTACACACATCTTCATTCATGGATGTACACATGCACATTGAGATGGGTTAGGGTTGGAGCTGAGAAGGTATGAATAGTTTTCTTAGTGGGCCTGAAAGATCTGGAGGAGGGGAGAATGCAATGTCTTCCAAATTTTCCTTGTTCTTGTCAGCCCACCTTGGGTCATCTGAGATTAAGAGGAGTCAGGGCCTGAGGATGCTTGTCCAGAAGCACCAGACTGACCTTAGTTTGGGGGGCAGAAGCAAGACCTCATTGCAGAACTGCACACTTGGGGCATCATTCTCATTGTAATCAATGTGAATGGCACCATTGGAGGAAAAGGCAGAAGGAAGCATGGTTCCACAGAATAGAGAACGATTTTGGTGAGGCCCTGACTCTGAGTCACACAGCTTACCCAGAGCCTTCTGGGCTCCCTCTTGTGTTTTGGGAAGGAAAGCCAGGGCTGAGTGCAGGCTGGAAGCCAGCCCACCTGGGAGCTCCAGGAGGAGGCTTCATCTTCTCCCAGGGCATCTTGAGCAAGGTCTGTGTCTCACCTGGGCGGGAGGCTGAGCTCAGGAAGGAGCCTTTAAGGCCCATCCACCCTGTTGGAGGCCATGACTCCTTGAGGTCAGAGCTGGGGGAGTGGGTTCCCAGCAAAGGGAAGGGCTGAAGACAGATGCAAGTCCCAGCTTGCTGAACCAGAGGGGCTGGCTGGTGCCCTGTAAGGGGTGGAGGTGGCACACCCTTCATTTCCTGCCCCCCAAACTCTTTTTCCTGAATGGGAATAGTCTGAACCAGCAAAGTAGACATGGGCTTTGCTGTTCAGCAAATGGGGTGGAGAAGAGTGTAGACATAGAAAGTGAATCACTACGGTCCACTCCAGCCTCCCTGAGCCCCCTAACCTCCTCCAGAGAACTGGAACAGGGTAGGGGAGGAGCAGACCAAACATAGACATTTTCTTTTCTTTTTCTTTATTTTATTCAATTACAGTTGACATTCAATATTATTTTATGTTAGTTTCAGCATAGTGGTTAGACATTTATATAATTTATGAAGTGATCCCCCCAATTAGTCTAGTACCCACCTGGCACTATACATAGTTACTACAATATTATTGACTATATTCCCTCTGCTATACTTTACATCCCTGCGACTATTTTGTAACTGCTAATTTGTACTTCTGAATCCCTTCACCTTTTTCATCCAGCCCCTCAAACCTCTTCTCATCTGGCAACCATTAGTTTGTCTCTGTATCTATGACACAGACATTTTCAAGTTTAAGAGGCACTTCCTCCCATATGCAAAATAACTCCCAGAAGTGGGTGTATGTCACCGCTTTCACAGATGACAAAACTGAGATTTGGAAGGAAGTCTCACTCAGCCACTGAGTGTTGAGCCGGGATTCAAACCCCATGGGAATGGGGAGGAGAAGTGAAAAGGGCAGAGAGGACAGGGAGCCACAGGCCCAGGCTGAGACACAGGGGAGCAGGGAGCCAGGGCATAGCAACCCACTCAGTCTCTCCAAACTTGAGCTCCCTTTCTACAGTGTACTCCACTTTTAGGCCACTTTTTTCCTGCTTCTGAGCCTTAAGAGTTGAGGGGTGACTCTGGACTGGCATGGGGAGTGGAGAACTGAGATGAATCACACTATTATGAGCGTCCCCAGACTGAGGGGCAGGCGAGTAGCTCCTCCTACTGCACCAATGGTCACTCCCTGTCTCCAGACAGATAAGATGGTAGGGAGCCTGTGAACACAAACTGACCCTTCAGGTACCTCTGGCCAGATGTCCAGCTTGACCTTGAGAAAATTTGCCTTTTGACTCAAATCCTGGGGACTCTGGGTTCACCTTCTGGTGTCTCTGAGCTGCCCTTGACACCTTTTGAGGACAGCAGCAGGTCATAGAGAAGAGGCAGAGAAATGGGATTGAGGCCTAGACCCTTTGCTGAGGAAGGGCCCAGAGTCCTAGGATCAGGCTGATGGGGGTAGAGCCCTCTTACAGACTCAGAATTTCAGTTCAAGCCTGGCTTGGCCACTGACCAGTCAGGTAACCTAAACAGCTCTCTTCCCCACCCCTCAGAGTCTGAGTGCCTTCATTAGACACCTGGAGGTTTCAGGTGAAGTCCTCTTTCAACCCATGGCCTCTGAAACAAGATTATGGATGTTTCAGGCTTTAAAAACTGCATTATAGGATCAACACAGAAGGAAGGTTCATTCCAGAAGCTGCCTCCTTAATCAGAGCCACATTTCCTCATGTGTGAATATCCATGTGCATTATTGGCTATGTATGTGCATGTATCCATGGAGGTCTGTGTGTATATGTGGGCAGCCATGGGGTCCACATATGTGTGTATCCATGAGGGCCTGTGTGTGCATGTGTATGTCTAATGGAGTCTGTGTGCATACCTGTGTGTCCTTGTCTGGGCCTAGATGTGGATCTGGGTCCAGTGTTTATAAAAACCATAGATAGGAGAGATAGGGATCTGTTGAGGAGTCTGAAGACACAGTCTGAAGACATTTGGGCCTACCCCATGCCAACCTGGGGGAAGGGTGTCAGTGACATGGAGCTGATACAGACCAGGCTGTCACTGAGAACAGGCCTCGGGTGTCTGGAGGGCTCTGTTTCATACCTCAGGGACAGACCCCTGGAGCCCCTGGGCTTTCTGATTTCTCATCTCCCTCCTCACTAGCAGTAAAGCTCCTTGCAATGAAGATGGGGTTGCTTCAGAGGATGAAGAGTCAGGACCAGAGATCAATGAAGAAGGAAAGCTGACAGGCTTCCTATGGGGTCTGAACCAAGGCCTAGCATTTGCTTAGTGTCTGAAGCCAG